ACGCAGCTACGGTAGCAACTACCAGCATGAAGCATAACTGCTAATACTCCTAGCAGGAAAGCTAGGTGGCTAGCCCTGGCACCGGTTTACCACTGCAGCACACCATCTGAGGGAATGGCTGATGGGGTTTGTCTGGCTATGGGCAGCTCCTAGCATCACTGAGGCCCTACTCATTATTTTAGCAGCACTGTCCTAATGTAATCTGAGCTACATTGAACAGCATTCAATTATCTGATAAAATCAGGAAGATTCATATCCTGATGCAAATTCCATTCAAAATCAGACATTCATTAGACATGAATGAGGGACGAGGCAAATGGAGAGGAAAACTAACATTTTGGGGAGTTTTAAACACACACACACACACACACACACACACACACACACACACACATAGACAGAGACAGAGAGAGAGAGAGTGTGTGTGTGTGAGAGATTGCTTCTTTTGCATATTTATGTGTAGACTATGAGACTGACTCATAACAAATCTCCATACATTCACACATATAAAACAGCACTTGACCTCTTTTACTGCAAGTTAAGATCTTATTTAAATATTTTTGGACCATTTCTATTGGTCTATTCATCATAAAAATGTTATGAGTTTTGATATGACAGTGACTATGCAAACACACATGCTTGCATGTCCCTCAGCCCACTGATCAGGATTACCCTGTCCACTGCACACAATTGGCAAACAGTTCTAATCACCATCAGAGGGGATTTACTGTTCACACAGGGTTCCCTCTTCCATTATCCAAGCACTGTGACTTCATCTGTTAAACTGGCCTCACCACACTAATACAACAACCATCATACTGTCAGAAAGCATGCAAAACTGTACAATGCAGGTCACTACATTAATTCCCCAAACCACTAGACCAATAGGGTAACAAGAGACACACAAGGGTGGTTTTATCTTCTTAATGGAATGACTAAACCATATATGCTAATGTCGCTAACAATGAATGGAGTCTAGCATGATGTAATTTTCATAATGCTAATTGATGGTTATTCACTTTCATTCATTATTAGCACCATTAGCATCTCCATTATTAGCTCCTTTAAGATTAGTCACTTAGAGTTCAGTTTGTCCAAATAAATCACAAACCCACTGACATGCTAAAGAATGACATTATGAGAACTATAATGGAGAGATCATTCTGAGACACCGAAGAAATGAGGGGAAAATGATGGACCATATTTCCAAAAGTTTGTAGACACTGGTTCATCCCAAGTTTCTTCTGAAATCAAAGGTAGTAATATTAAAGTTCCTCCTTTCCTGCAGTAAAAGACTTTACTCTTCTGAGAAGGCTTTATGCTGGAACATTGCTGTGTGGATTTGATTGCATTCAGCCACAGGAGCATTAGTGTGGTCAGGTACTGATGTTGAATGATGACGTCTGGACACTCAGCACACTGGTGCTCCGTCACTCCAGAGAATGCAATTCCACTGCTCCAGAGCCCAATACTACCCTCTCAAGCAGACGCTTGGCTCTGAGCATGGTGACCTTTTGGTCACATGCGGCTGTTCCAGAGCATACCATTCTGAATGCTTATCTATAGAGTTCATACAAGCTGTATTTGTGCAATTTAATGTTTTGTGTGCACAACTGGTGAACCTTGAAGTAACTGCATTGACTTATCTGTGAGGGGTTTCTGGATACTTTTGGACAAGTGTAGCTCCTCACCGCAAACATGAACACAGAATTGCAGCAGAAGCATTCAGGTCCTCAGTGCTACGTTGTTGAACACAGAGAAAGCCAATGATAAGGGCATAAAACTGTTTGGAGAGAATAATAGAGTGCCGAAAAGAGCTAAAGCTTATCTCCACCATCATATTCTACTGCGCTTGTGTGCCAGCGTAGCGGGGACAGTTGACGAGTGATTCAGCCAAAGCCTGTGATGACAATGTGTCAGTATACACACACAGCGCTCACTCACACAGAGCTCACTCACACACACACACACACACACACACACACACACACACACACGGACACACTCACTCAGAATACTAAACCACTGATCAAACACGGCAGGAACTGGCAACGAGAGCGGACGAGCGTGACATACTTCCTGTGCGCAGTGAATGACACACATACACACATTTTCTCTATCCACCTCTTTCTCTTTCTTTTCTTCTTTCTCAAACACACATGTATACACACCAACACTCACTTGCTTTCCTTTGTAAGCAGTTGAGCAGCTTTACGTTAGTTGTATGAGCTGTCTGTGATGTGTGATGATAAATGAGGGGAAATGGCTTTTCCCTGTTTGTTCAAATGCAAAAGGCCAACACAGCTTTGCAGCATCAGACAGCTGCTCCACACAGTCTGAACACACCACAGACACAACACTTCTGTGGTTGCATTTTCAGTTCCACACTAGGAAGCCATCCTCAAGCTCTAGTGAACAGCCGGGGCTCTTCCTTCATGTTCACTATTAACAAACAGATTTTATCCCATCATTAACACTTCAGTCTAAAGCAGTCTTGATAAGGCTACATGACACTTACATAAGCCTTTCATCACATCTAACCAAATCTATTATATACTTCTTTAAAGGAGCAGTTTACGATTCTGAAAAAAGATTGTTGATATTTGAACTCAACAGCAAAACAAACACACCCCTCCCTTCAATGCTCCTTCAGAAACTCCGCCCCAAAAATTTGTGGACGCACATTGTCAAGGCCAACATGCCTTTTTAGACCTTTGTGGCCATTAAAACCTTTGCAAATAGCATGATATAAAGTTAGAGTGAACAATGACACAGACACTAACGTAGCTAACGTTAGCTCGGTTGTGGGTTACTCCACTATGTCTATGGATTGAAAAATAGTTGTTGCTGCTATATTAATGTTAAAAATGTTGAATATATCACATTCAAGGCTTTTACTAACAAGTGTCAGTTGTCATAACACTAATGACATCAGAATTGACAAAAGCAGCCTTTATGACAACTGACACTTGTTTGAATAATCTTTATAAAACATTGGCCTGGTTGAGCCTGGGCCTGTCCAGATCAATCACAGGCTTATCCATTCAAATGGGGACAGAATACTTAAGCTGCAGTTTTTTAAATATCATTAAACTTGCTTTGTTTTCTGAGAGTGCTGTCACTCCACTATGGCCATTTAAAATTGTTATGCTCTCTGATGAGTTACACCTCCTTTTTTGGCCTCCAATCATTGCTTAGCAACTGTTGCTATCCACCACTGCTTCAAGCATTCAGGCGGTTATCTGTGTGCCAGTGTTTGTAATTGATGCTCCAGCTGTGGTCAAAAGACAGCTGTGGGACCTGCAAAAGTGAGTCCTTTATAGAGTGGAGTATGTCTTTTCTACTCATGCAAAGCCAAGAACAAATTTAAAAAAACATCACTGTTGTCTGAATTTGGTACTTGCAATTCTTGTTTATGACAAAAGCTAAAACGGGTGTCGAAATGTCAAAGCAAAACATCTACCTCAGTGCATCAAAGGATTATATAAATACGTATATAACGTATATAAATACGATTAATAGGTCAAAGTTTTAAGTTTGCTAATTAGTTTTCCTCATTTCAGCCATCTGATATTTACTCAGTTATACCACCTGGACAAACATTGTGCTTGTAGTGAGCAGACGTATACTTTAATGTTAAGGGTGTTTCAGTGTTGGTTGGGTTTATGTGAATCCAGCTTTATGGCTGAAGTATACACAGTCTTGTTTTTGTTTTGTGTAGTCTAGGGGGGGAAGCATTGGAATAGTTGGGGTGATGACTGCGATGCTGACAGGAATAGGCTACAGCCTGATGTAATGATGTTTTGGGACTTGAAAATCAACCAAGCTGGCCCACACGCTTTTTCACAGGCCTACACCACTTGGTTTGTCAGTATTCATGAGAAGCTTATGATAAATGTCACGTAGCCTTGCAAAGCTCTGTGCTGAAAACAACTGGATCTTTTATCTCTGTTGTAAGAAAACTATTACCCTATATCGTTTCTATATTTTTATACCATTAGAAAAGACCACACTGTAAGACGTGTTATTTTAACTTAAAAAGGTTAGTAACTATATGTCTTTATTTTTGTTCTAACAGTAACAGACAGAACAATGATCTGTGTGTTACTTATTTCAAGTTCAATAAACTCAATGGAAATCTTCCATAATGACTCACCTCTTATTGCAATATTTTAACGCAAGTAAAAAGTTAAAGTAAGTAAAGTTACTATACAATTGGTCACAGTAGTAATTTTCCATTTTTCAATGATTTAGAAAGTTGACACCGGCAATTATTTCATGTTATTTCGTTGTCACTATTGTGTTTGTTCATGTTAGTTGTTCTTGTTTGTCCCATGCATGCACTCCGGCCTTAAGACATTAATAACGTGCCTCCCGTATGTAATTTAGACAGTCACTGATGCAGACTTTGAACTGCACATGCTTGTTTGTAGGTATTTAAGATTTGAAATAGAATCTTTTATATTATTTTGTTAGTAATTCATTCTGTACCAATTTTTTTCTATACCCAGGACTAGACTTAGACTTGATAGAGAATTTCTTTTAATCAAGTTTTCATCAGCAGTAAATATCTGACCTGGGCACAGAACAGAACTTTGAACTGACTGCTCAACTGACTAAAGTCCAAATGTTGGTTAAGAGTCTTATTCATACTGGGACTCTTTAGGCTATTCTAGATCTTCATTTACCTGACAGTTTCCAGTCATCTATTAATGAATGAAGGCACTTCATAATTGCAGTTACTATAATGTCAAGGAATGTGAATAAAATTGGTATACACAGACACAGACACACACAGAAAGCGAAAGAGAGCCTTTTCAGAGTCCAGCCTTTTTGCCTATTGTAAAACCCCACCTTCAGACACAATATAGTAGAATATTAACAGAGGTTTGAGATCATACAACCTGTTCAAGACAGATGATCTTACAAGGAAGTCAAGTCTTACACACTGTCTGAAGAAACAGTTTAAGGACAATCAAGAACAGACTCTGGATAAAGAAATGGCGGCAAAATCATCTCTTTCAGAGAAGGACCTCTCCTGTATTTTATGCTGTGATATCTATGTGGATCCTGTGCTGCTGTCTTGTCGTCACAGCTTCTGTAAGGACTGCTGGGAGGAGTACCAGCAGACGAAGAAACCTCTCAAATGTCCTTTGTGCAGGAAACAATGTCCCAAAGGTTTTCCTCCCCTTAACCTTCAATTAAAAGTGCTGTGTGACAATTTTCGTCAGGAGAGAGACAATTCAGCAGTAAGATCTGAGACATTGTGCGGACTGCATAAAGAGGAACTGAAGCTCTTCTGCCTGGAGGACAAAGAGCCCGTGTGTGTAGTATGTCGGGAATCTAAACTGCACAGCAGGCACAGTTTCAGACCACTGGATGAGGCAGCGTTTGAACACAGGGTGAGTAAACTGCTGTACCCCAAACGCATTCACCTAAGACAATCCTGCATATGGATAAAAGCTAAAGCTAAACGGTAATGCTGTCCAATTAGAGCATCATTACTCATGCCATTTCACCATCCAGAACCATCAGTGATCTTACTAAATATATTTTGAGATGCTGGGTTCAACCAAGAATTGGGCAGGGCTGCCCTTATTTCTCTATACAGAACAAACTGTAACCTTGCGTTTTATAATAATATTTATAACAATTTTTTAGGTGTATCTGAGGATACACACAGATTTAGAACCAAACAACTTTCGTTCTGTCACTAGTTAATATCTTGATGGTGTGTGTCATGTTTTTTGACTGGGGCGGCATACTTTTGCATCGCTCGTTAAGTTGAACCCTGAGTGCAAACCAAAATGCAACCAACATTTTTAAAGGGGAATTCCACCTATTTTCCAAAATCTCTAAATAAATCAGTCCCTGAGATCAGTGTCATTCAGAGTGGTTTGATGTGAAATGGTTAACTGTAGAAAAACTCTTTACAGTGGTGGTGATAGGAACCAGGGGTCATAATGTCACAATGTCGCCATTTTATTTACTATCCAAAACCACTAGTGAACCTACACATGCCTTCTAAGATTGTATGTGATTATGGTAAAAAAAGTTATAAATATGAAGAAAAAACCTTTCTTTGGGAACTATTTTCGCCCCGCATATATCCCTCCGCCATTAATGGATTAAAAAAATGATTGAAATTCATTTAAGCCAAAACTATCATAAAACAATGACAACATAATGTGTCAGACATCAGGCAGTATATACTTAATCAGTTCAGGTAATAATTTTCCATGAGGGAGCTTTTAGAAGTATTAAACTCTTCAGATGTCTGGTTCCCATCACCAGCACTGTGAACAATTCTAATTGATTTCTTCGGAATGGAGCATTTCACACCAAACCACTCTGAATGACTTTGTTTAAATCTCCATTTAACTGTGCAGAATGTTCCCCTACTACCCCTCTTAATACCCTAATAGATTATCATATTTTTTGTTTTTTCCACAAAGCTATAAAATATGAAATGGTTTAATAGAACACACTTTCTCATTCCAGGAAGAGCTTCGGGCTAAACTGAAACCCTTGCAAGAGAAGCTTCATTTGTTTTTGAAGGCAAAACTGATTTGTGATCAGACTGCGCAACACATTACGGTGAGAAAATTAATATATTACGAGGCAATCAGTGATGCAATGGATCAATTAGCTCATCAAATTGTAGATGATAATGTTTTGTACATTAGAGCCAAGCTGAAAACACAGAGAGACGAATTAAGGAGGAGTTCGAGAAACTTCACCAGTTTCTAAGAGATGAGGAAGAAAACAGTTTATCCGCGCTGAGGACCGAAGTGAGGGTGAAAAGCCAAATAACAAAGAAGACTGCCAGCAGCATAAACCATGAGATTCTGAATCTTTCAGAAACAATCACATCCACACATGAGGAATTAGCATCTGATGACATCTCTTTCCTTAAGGTATTATGCTGTTTATGAAGTGAGAGCTACAGTGCAGAATGCACTTTGTTGTTTTGGCTCTGGACTCCAGCAAACTGAATGTGAAATGTAACTATGATAGTGAGGTTAAAATACAGGATGTAAGCTCTAATATAAACTATACGTCCAAAGGTTTGTGGACACCCCTTCTCATTAGTGTAGTGAATTCAGCTGCATTAAGGTACGTTCACTACTGACACAGGAGTTTGAATGCACACAGCTTGTATAGCCTCCATAGAAAAGCATTTATAAAAGAAGAGGATGCTCTGGAGCGGCTGCACATGAGCCTAAGCTTACCATGTCCAATGCCAAGCGTAGGTTAGAGGGGTATATAAAGCCCTTCAGCACTGAGCTGTAGAGCAATGGAACTGCGTTCTCTAGAGTGATGAAGCACCAACCAATACCTTTGGGATAAGGTGGAGTGCCATTTGTGATTCAGAACTAAACATCCAACATCAGTACCTGATTTACTAGTGCTACCACTGCTGAACGCAATTAAATCCTCAAAACAACGTTCCAACATTTAGTGTAAAGCCTTCCCTGAAGAGTAGAGACAGTTACCGCAGCAAAGAGGGGAAAATTCCTTTTTTATACTCTTTAATTTGGGAAGAAACATTGGATGAACAGGCATCCGCAAACTTTTGGCCATATAGTGTAAGTCTGAGTCTATACGCCCACACTGAGTGAACTATAGGAATCATTGCACTTTTTCCTCTTAATGCTTTTGGGGACCATAAGCAAATGGACAACTGGTCAGTTGTTTCTTGGCCATCAAGCGAGCTAAAAAGGGTCTAAAGAACTTAAACACAAACAGTTTATTAAACAAGAACAAGTTGGTGAGCTAAGCAATGGCAAACACACTGAAAAACTAGCACAACTATGTAGTCTGGAGAATATTTTCAATCTTGAAGGGAAACTAACTTTAAAGAGTTCTGAGCCTTAAAATTAGTACAGGTAGATGACAAAGATTATCTAGTCCAACAGAATGAGAAAAGTGTAGAAAAAAGGAATTGCTCTTCATCCCAACCAAAGCACCAGCAGGACAAATGCTGTGTAGAGAAACACAAGGCCAACCATAGACCTCAAAACTCTTTGCAGTAAGACAATAGCAGCGTCCCAATTCAGGGGCTGCATCCTTCAGAGGCTGCATTTGAAGGCCGATTGAGTCACAGGCGCAACTAGGCTGTCCCATTTCCAAGGCTCCATCATATGCGGCCGAGAAATGTGTCCTTTTCCATGGCAACAAAGGATCCAACGGGTGGATCCTTCGCCAGCCATCATATCCAGAGGTTCACTGCATGCCGACCAAGATTCAAGAACATGGCGGCATGAGCAGAGGAGTGAACGGCGGGTGAGGAGACTGATTCGAATAACTAACGATACAAATATTAAAAAAAAGCCAATGTGGTCTGAAGCAAAACTTATGCTAACGTTTCGTTTTAGGAAGCAAGGAGCAGACAGAGGAAAGCATTTCGGCTCTAATAAATAAAAATAAATAAATAAATAGAATCAAAATTTCTGGCTCTGCCTTTAAAGAACTTTAAAATAACTTTACAATAGCGGTGTTTCAAGATGCACCGGTAAGGGCAGGAAACAGGGGTGCTGTGACACAAACAGGATATCCACCATAGAGTAGACCATCTCATTTCAGGTCAGCCTTCGCTGGTCTACACAGCCTTTGTAGACCGTGTCCTTCGAAGGATGCAGCCCCTGAACTGGGACACAGTGTACGACCAGAAACATACTGCTACGCTACTAGTTTTTTCTTCGAAGTTGGTGTTCTTGTCTAACCAAGTCAGTCACCCCATTAGAACCCTACAGAGCACGCATTTCACTAACTGAAGACCAGATACAAAGCAATAAACCTTTGAAACAAGTAGAACTGAAAATGGCTGCATTACAGGCCTGGTAGAACATCAAGTGATTCTATGGATTAAGAACTTCAGACAGTCTTCAACTGCCAAGGATTTGTGACCAGTTTGACAATATTCCTTGAAAGGTGGGTTTATTGATATTTAAGCCAGAATACTTTTTGTAATAATTAGCGAAATCCTCACATTCTGACAGCTGTCAATAAAATATGTACTCGGAGGACAAATCTGGTCTTTGTTGCCGCACATGACTCTGTGAACAGGAGAAATGACAAGTGGCCCACCCAACATTTAACTAATAAAGGGAAAAAAGCATCTTCTGTCCCATCTAACAGTCAGAATAAGGAGGTGTGTCTACTTGCCTGTCAATTATGTTGCACATCCAAAGTAACTAACCTGGTTAGTTCTTCTAAACAAATACTACCAAGAATGCCATTCAATGGCTTACAGTGCCAAACGTACCAAGAAAAGAAAGACAGAGGAACAGAAAGACCCAGAGCAAATCTGAGAGTTAACATCGTACCACATCCCAATGCTGGAGAAAGCTAAGGGAGAGCTAAGGATGTGAAGAGAGAGGCTGGCCTTGCTCTGTATCTCATAGATAGAGGTAATTATTTTGCAATTTTGCTCAGCTTCTCAAGCTATCAAAGGGCAAAAAACAACAATGTTAGCATCAGCATTTAGGCATTCTAGCATCTGAGTTTTGGAGGCGAGGCTTTGGAGGGAGCTTTCTTGTTTTGTTAAGTTTCAAAATAGCTTCACTAAAATTGCCAAAAACAATGACCCTTTCTTTGTGATTAATGTGCATTCGAGCAATTACTTATGTCCCACTGAAATGGGGGGACAATGTAAAAAAAGGCTGTGATTCCTATATGGCTCACCCATACAATTGGAAATACTTTCAAATTAAAGCTGAATTCTGCATTACAAATTCAACATCACTGTTTCGTTTCAAATTCAATGCGGAGCCAGCGCAATAAGAATTGTGCCACTGTTCAATCACTTAATGACTGCACAGTGCAATAGTGTTTGGTCCACTGCTGCAATCTCATCAGACAGAATTTCATTACTCCTCTGTAAAAATGCAGGTGATAAAATATTTCTTTTGTTCCCCTCATATGCAGAACTATAAAGCTACAGTGGAAAGGTAAGAGAAAAGCCTCTTTCTGTGTCCTGACACTTTCTGAGTCACTTTTGACAGCATGACTGACTCGTGAATGTTATTCCAGCACTGAGTGTAAGCTGAAGGATCCAGAGATCCTCTCTGGAGCTCTGATCGATATGGCAAAGCATCTGGGCAACCTGAAATTCAGAGTGTGGGAGAAGATGAAAGATATAGTCAAATACAGTAAGTTCTATGGGCAGGTGATGATTTTAATGTCTTGACATGGTACTTGGTTTGTTGACACACATGCTATATTACTGTTTAAAATATTGGAATCATGTTTTGCTATTTTCAGTGCAATAATAACTTAGTGTAGATTTAAATTAGAAACAAGGCATCCAAGGTGGTATTGTGGTAACACTAAGATAATGAATGAGTTTGACAACTTGTTTTGAAAAATCATAAACTGTATTTCTACATACAACATATTTGTCAAATTATCTTCAAGATTTGATCACTTTGGAAACTACAAATTCTTCACATTATGTTTATCAATTTTATTAAAATTCTTAGTCATTCTGGACAGTACTGTGCAATAGTCAAGTAAGAAGTAGCTTACATTTTTTCCTCCTCACAATCCAAGTAATCTTAAACACATTCAATGATGCTGAGGTCTGAACTCTGGAAACTCAAAGATGAAAGCTTTAAGCACCGTTTATCTGTTAGTCTGACAGTTTTGGTGGTCTTAGACATTGTTCTATTTTCAGGAGTCTTATTTTCTCTATATCTTTTACTATTTTTTTGAATTACAGTTTTGGAGACTTCTGTTTTTTACTTATTTTATCTCAGCTTCCTTATGCAAGCGGACTGTTTGATATCTGATGTCCTCTGAAAGATCCCCTGAAAATGAATAACTTGTACATAATGGATGATTTGACTCTAAATTCAATAACTTAAGGGTGGTCTCTGACTTTTGCACAGTACAGTATTATTACAGTGGATTACATTATACAGTGGATTATCAGGTCTTGGATGGTTGTTAGGGGTCTGGTTCAGTTTTAGAACTCATTTTTTTCCTCAGTTATTTTCCTTTGCCGCTGTCTTTTCTTATGCAAGTGTACCATCTTATTTTTAATCTTCTCTGCAGTATCTCCTGAAAATTTAACCTGTATGGATGCTTTGACAGAAAAGTAAATAAATGAAGATAGTCTTTTGCAAAGTACCGCAAAACTCAAGGTTTTCTATATATATATATATATATATATATAATATATATATATATATATATATATATATATATATATATATATATATATATATATATATAGCTTCCTACTTGTTAATGGAAACCTATGAAGTTGCACAGGAACAGCATTTTAAAATAATTTTGTACATTTACCTGCAACCAGCTTTATATAATTAAAAGCATTTTCAACTATAATGTTTGAACTGTAGTATATCATCTCGTCTTAGTTTGTTTTGGCCGAGAATTGCACATATAAAACATGTTAAGAATCATACTATATTCTTCTTCTTTGCCATTCAATCTAACATTTTGTCCCTCTCTCTAGCTCCTGTGATTTTAGACTCCAACACTGCACACCAACGTCTCACCATCTCTGATGATCTGACCAGCTTTGTATGTACAGACGAGCCCCAGCAGCTCCCTGAAAACCCAGAGAGATTTGACCATTATCTGTGGGTCCAGGGCTCTGAGGGCTTTCACTCAGGAACGCACTGCTGGGATGTCGACGTGGAAAACTGCGAACAGTGGGCTCTAGGTGTTGTAACAGGGTCTATGAAAAAGGGTAAGACTTCCTTCAGTGGTGGCATATGGAAATGCCATTACGAGAACATTCTGTATGGATCCAGTTCCTCTGGAGGTCCCACCACTGTCCTCAGAGTAAGGGAGAGCCTGAGGAAGATCAGAGTGCAGCTGGACTTTGATGAAGGACAAGTCTCATTTTGGAATCCCATCAGTGGCCGCCATCTACAAACTTTCTTATACACGTTTATAGAGCCGGTCTTCCCGTACTTCTGTAATCGATGTAAACGTCATCCACTGAGGATTTTGCCGAAGGAGACCTCTGTAGTAATACAGTGGCCTAAGTACAGGACAGAAGAACTAGCTTACCTGACTACAGACTCTTCTGCTTAATTACATTCACTCTTGAAACAAGGTTCCTTAGAGGTTCTTGGCTTGGATATATGCTTCTAGATAAAAAGTTTAATTTTGAACATCACCATGCACCAGCAGGTAGGGAACAATAATATTAACCAGTAATATCATGTTTTACCTCCCACCACCCCCACCCATCATTAAGAGAACTAGCCCCAATACTGTATTTCACTCAGAAATACATTGTGTGGTTGACTTAGCATAAGCCCCTTTTAAATTATATCATAGCATAGAAACTCAACGAACTAAGGACTGCAACACAAAATATAGCAATTTTCCATTTATCCAAAAGTGTAATGTTGATAAAGGCAGAAAAAAAAGTTCATAATGCCCTACATGAACAGTAGCATGCAATAGTTTAAACACCCTTGCTCAAATGATGTTTTGCTGTTTTACCAAGTAAAAATAAATGTAAACATCCTCTATAGGGAACAAATGTAAATGACATTTTTCTGCAAACCTAATGCACAATTTCTATTATGTATTTAACATATTGAAAAAACTAAATATAAAATATGAACTGTGCCCATACCTTTTTGCACATGCCACATTTTATGTTTAATTTTTTCCTTATCCGTTAAATTCAGCAAATAAACATGAGCAGAAGTGTGTTCTCTGTAGAGGATGTGTACTTTTTCACCCACTAAGAAAAGAACATGTCATTTGAACAAGGGTGGGTATGACGGCACCTCTGCCACGAATGTATTTATAAAAAAGTTTTAGGCCAAGACCTCATCTCAAATCTATCGAAAAGCAGATCGGACAGAATATTCCTAACCACTGTGTAATAGTTTTCTGTGAGAGCTTTTAGAGGCAATAAACTCTTTAAACGTCTGGTTCGTATTACCACTGCTAAGAACACCTGATAAGATTCTCTAGAACGGTGCTTCACCTCAAACCACTCTGAATCATCATTTAACATCTTAATTATGCAGAACTTTGAAAAAAAACAGTGGAATTCCTCCGTATAAGCGCACATTCATAAAAAAGACTGCCACTGGACAGTAGAAAGATTTCTGACATTTCTATAGCTGTGTTTATGGTTGTCATTTTGGAAACCAGTTATTCACTCGTGTCATTTCATCCACAAACTGCTATCATCCATCAGAAACAGGAACGCTATATTACTCTGGATTATGGTATGGCATTTTCTCTCAGTGCGTTCACCCTCAATTGTGCTTATAGTAGGGTTATTGCTGTGTGTTTTCCATTTGCCACATTTACAGATGAAAATAACATAATAAACAGAGTGACATGCTTCAGAGATAAGCAATGTTTCTGAATTTTACATACTGCACACTTACATGTCCATTTTGACCAGATTTTAAACATATTCAATCAGTTTAATTAATATTTGAAAATCGTTCTTGTGTTGTCAAGCTCTTACTCTCATGTCACTAAGCGACATGGCAGTCTTTCTGGCATGAACGTGAGCGAAATGACAGCAGCAGCTCTGTAGAGCCTGATGAAAAGGGTACTTAGATCGATCTCCATTCAGAGAGATTGAGAGTTAGGACTACCACATGGGGATCTGCATCACGCCAGACACACTTTAGAGTTTCTTTTTGTTCAGTCTGTCACTCACTCATGTACACTCTCTTTCTCTTTAGTAGCCAATAATATGAGACAGTTGCATCATGCAGTAATGTAAGCAAGTCTTAAAAAAAAGTTGCTGTGTTTGAGTAATGTGAGTAATACAGTTTATACTTCCACCGACTGTACCCTAATTACATTTTCAAAACAAAATGTAGTAACACTTCCTTTTCATTGTCAATTCATTTCCACTTGTTATTCAATGAAAAGTAAATCAGAATCAGAAATCATCAGAATCAGAAATCATCATGAGGGTAACGTTTAGGATTAACACCAGCAGGGATGTGTGAAGGAGGGGTGCTGAATGGGCTGCAGCACCCCCAGATTTTAGGATTGTTTAAGTACAACTGCTAAAACCAATAACAGAAAAATAACAGAACTTTAAAATATTATGAGTACAGCAAAAATCCATATGTGCTTTTTGTAAGGTGGAGTTTGTATTTTTATTTTGTTTGATTTACAGGAATCATTCTACCGAATTGGTTCAGAGTTCAAAACCTATTTCAGGCTTTTAACTGACTTCAGTTAGTTAGCTGAACTCTAGATCAAAATGGTTTTGTTTTGAATGACGCTATACCTCAATTATCTTCATTCTATTAAAACAAATGATGGAATATTCCATTTTACCACTATATATTTAACTGTTAAAGATGTGGTGCACATAAAATCATAAAATTTTTCATTAAAACACAAAAAAGTTTACTTAATTGCAGAAAATATGTGTCTTGGTAGTGACAGTTCTTGATACACACTGACTTTCAGATTTTGGGACACATTTACTAAAAAATGGGATCTAACTGGTCACCACGTGGCCATGAGGGACAGAGATGCAGTCTCACTCTCCGCCCTAAAATGCGTCTGAAATAAGGCTCCTAAAACTAAAACTGTACTAAAACTCTGTTTTGGTAGGGATGTGAAAATATGGGACAGTAAAGTTTTTATTTTATTTAAAAATTTAAATCATGATAAATCTAAATTTCACATTCACTCTAAAGGAAATCAAAAAGACCTTTAAAAATGCAATAAATAAATAAATAAATAAATAAATAAAATAAAATAAAATAAAATAAAATAAAATAAAAAGATCAGCCACCTCCCAATAGAAAGTACCCTATAAGTGATTATTTAGCTTATTACTATCTCAATTTTTACTTTGGGTTTAAATAGATCATAAACCTCATAAATTTCTAAGATCTGAATACTTAATTCTTTTTGATTTAATATCTTTTTGATTTCAGTGCAAATAATTCAGTAGGATTGCCTGTCTGTTCAAAATCTGCAGTAACCATGCACTATTAAATGTATAGCTGCATTTTAGAGTGAAGTGAATCGCTTTCCTTGCCAACTATTTGCCGCTTTAGGCATGTCTCTACAACTCAAGCAGGAGTTGTAGGCTAGTTCTGTGCCCCGAAGTGGTCCAATGTCTTAAAAACTTTGTTTTCTAATAATATCACTACTAGTACATTAGCGGTTGCTGTCTCGGTTAGTGTACACCTGTATCTTATCGCCTTTCACTAAACAATTCAAATGAGAAAAGAAAAAAAAAATAGTATTTAGCATGATGTCACTGTGTTCATCATGTATATGCTAAAAATGTCAGCACCCCCAACTCAAAACATCTTCCTGCATCCCAGAGCACCAGGGTTAGGTTTAGGACCAGGTTTAGGTATGAGGTTGAGGTTAAAGCCGGGGTTAAAGTCAGTGTTAGGTTTAGGGTAAGATAAAATTAAGGTCAATCTAAGATATTTAGTTAAATACAAGTTAAAGGCAAGGAAAGCTTAGACAAAGCATCTTCAGTAAAAGTAAATAAAGTGTTACCAAAAACTGTGTTGTCCAAGAAACAGAGGTCTGAAGTCCTGTTAGAGCTGGATTAGTTTTACCAGATGAGGTCTGGCAATGTAATTTGTAAAGGATTGGACTGGATGATTCATACTCCCAATTACCTTAGATCACAGGTCCCAACCCTGGTCGTGGAGCACCTCCCATCCTGCACATTTTTGTTTGCTTGCTCTTCAACTCAGTAAGGGCTTCTTAATTAGCAGCTTCTAGTTAATACCAGACAGAATAGCACTAGGGTGGCAAAAGTGGGCTTAGTCAACTTACCAAATGCTGCAGTCCAACCAGAGGTGGATAATTCAGGTCCAGAAAGTAAAAATCCTCCTCAGTATGTTGTCACAACTGCTGGGTTTAAGCTACTGAGAAAAGCCAGACTCTGGGAACAAAATCTCAAGGATTTTTATTTTCTGGACCTGATTTTTTCCATCTCTGTCCCCAACAATGCAGAAACTGCATTGCCTTGCAAGAGGTACTTTTTTTCTCCTTCTAATTAGACCATCAGCAAAAATGCAGTGTAAATGTAGATTACAGTAGTCATATTTTGAACTCTAAGGTACTGTGCCAATCAAGCTCATTTTTTTGCAGTAAGCCTTGTCTTCAAGTCACCAAAAAACAAAGGTAGTGTTTATTATTGGGTTTTCTTATTACATTACCATGACTGATTCACACAGGATTACTATTACTGAAGGAGCTCCAATGTTTGATAAATTATAGAAGGTAATTTGCTCCAGAACTATTACATTGCAAATTTGGCACAGATTAAATTCATGGCTCTCACCAGTAATCACTCAAATTACTGCACCTCCTCGTGTAAACCTAATCCAGCTCAAATAGGGCTTAATATTACATACGTGTTTCATATGATCACAATGGAAAAAATAATGCATTGAACTTGCTTGGTTCAAAGTGTGCATCATGTGAATAAAATATTACATCAACACAATTATTTTTGTAAAAAACTGAGTAGGTGTGATATTGCATTCATGTTGAAATGATGCACATATTGGAACCAAGAAAGTTCAGTGCCTCACTTTCCTCAGTGTATGACTGATTTGTGTAGGAGACTTTGAGAATTTAAAAGTTTAAGGAATGAGGCTTACTCAGCAGTGCAGGCAGAATGCCAGCGGCACTGAAAGGACAGGTTAAGGTTAAATCCAGTCAACACAAGTTACAAGGAAAGCATACTTGTTCACAGCCAACATCGGATTTGTGAAGCAAATATTAAATCCCTAACTGTCACCTTGCCCAGTAGCTGGTAAAGGGTCTGGCAACTGGACAAATCAAGATTTTACCTGCAGTCACTATTTCCAGAACAGATGACCGTTATTTTGCCAGCAGGCCATGATGCACATGGATGCCTAATTTCAAAGCCACATGTAGGGCACTATAATTAACCATTCCATCATTTAAACCTGCCATAATGATAGTTTACTAACAAAAGTGCTAGGCTGAATAAAATTATTATTATTTTTATTCTACCTTGACCTTGTATGAACATGTCATGAAGCCAAGGAAGACACATCAAGTGGAGTGTTTAAGGATATAGAAACACTGAAATGCTCCTTGAGGAAATAAAATCTCCTTCCCTGACTATCGCAATAAGGGATAATTGACACAAATGTAGATATTTACTGACTGGAGGTGGGACAACAAACACTTCAGTGAGTGACATTTTTACTGCTGATAGCCTATATATTGTTCAATAGACAAAGTGGCCTTGGTCTTGCCAAAACATTCTAAAAATGAAAGCTTTCAGGGCCACATAACTCATTCAGCAGGTGATTCTGAAACTAAAGTAACGCTTAAGTTTACTTACAAAATATGTGAACCTTTAACGCAGAGGCAAATAAGTGCCTTTCTCTGTCTTTTAACCCTTTTCACAGGAGCAATAAAACGCTATTTGCCTGTTTTAAAAGGTCTTTGGGTTGACCCGTCCCTTGGTTGAATATTGTATATTGGAATATTCTGATAGAAGTGTGAATGATTGTATTTAACCGTTAAAATCCCAGGCTTATTACATACTAA